GTTAGTGAAAACGTTTGTACTTACTGGAACTTTTGAGGAAGAACTCTAGCCTGTCAGGTATACCTCATTTATAATGTACAATTTGTGAACACGTATTTCCTGTTTTTTTAACCTAACAAGATTTGTGCCCAGAAATGTAATTCCAGTGGTCCGGGCTGTTAAACACTATTTATATGGTGGAAGAACGCTAAAGTCTGCTAAAGCTCTTAATTGTAACAGTTTTTAAGGACATGCATTCAAAGAATAACTGGATGTAAATTTAGTAACTATCTGTAGAGACAGAGATCCTGGAATGTGACAACTAGTGAAGTCTAAAGAAAGCTTGAAAGGGAGGGACATAAAAGGGAGAAAATGCTAACTAACTGAACTGTAATCTCATGGGACTTATCTAAGATTGTGAACATAATTGTGAAAGTCTGGGCAAGAGATACGTTTAATGTCTTTCCCTTTCAAGAATACACAGGCATGAGGTTTAAAAGCTAGTTTAACCCTAGTCTGTGTGCTGGTGGAAGAAAGTGTTGGTGAGCTGAAGTGCTGATGGGCACCAGTGGGTTGAGATACATGTATGCACTTTTAATATATCTTTTATAATGTTTTCCTTTAACGTCTATCTTTTTTGGACTCATTTCTCATCTGTGCATGTGTGTTGTGTTATTCGTTCTTGCAAACAAGCTTGTTCATTTGTTAACTCAAAGCCTTGTTAAATTGACTCCTTTTAAAATAAATAACTGTCATCTGGGAGAGAGGTATCCATAATAGGGGTATCCTTTGTAAATTAACCTTGTTGTGATCAGAAGAAGTGGTCAGTAAATAAAGGAGGGGGCCAGTTCATCTTTCCTAACCTTGGAGCATGACATTTTTGGGTATTTCACCTGGAACTGTAGTAAATTTGAGAACCTTGTCGAGGGCCTGGTCAAAATACCATGACATGATAACAAATGAAAAAAGAGGTTCCCAACTATCAAGTTTTGGAAAGCTGACTCACCTGAGAAGTTCAGAACTTCATCCCAAAATTTTAACCTGCCATCAGGAAACTGAATATTTTCGTCCTGACTACTTAAGTCCCACGCCTGCCCTTCTAAAACTTAGGGTGGACCCAGAAGCTTCCACCCATTAGTAAATTCGGATATACTTGTATATTTTAAAAAAAGTACAAGATTGTGTATGAACTTGTGTAACTATTATAATTTAATTATGTATATGTTTTAATAGGCCCCAAGATAACAGCAATGGAATGTCTGGAAGGAATGGCATCCAGTTTATATGGCGAGCTGTTTACGCTGTTAATCTCACTTATTAATAGGTGAAACTTCCTTTATATTCAGTTGTTGGATTTGCACAGAATGTTTGTGTAACTGCAAATGAGTGTTAGATTGTTCCACATTATGTACAATTGTTTAACCTTTAGCGTACTTGACTTTGTAACATTTCGAATTTACATAATTACTGGATAATACCTTCAGTCTCTTATTAGTAGTTGCAGAATTTGCCCTGAGTAACTTCATTCTTGTTCCTTTCACCTCACCTTATTGAGACAATATGTTCAGATGTCTGAGCCAGATGTTATGGAATTCTGTGCCTAAGCCCTGCTGCTGCTGTTCCTCCATTTCTCCGAGACCTTCCTTAAAACTCAGGTCTATAGCAGAGCTTGGACCACCCCTCCTAATGTCAATTTCTTTAGTTCTGCGTCTTTATTCATTTGTCTGCTTAGACCTTGAAAAAACAGTTTTATAAAGTTTAAATGTTGAATTTAATTGATACTTGCTGAAATATAAGATTACAGAAACATAAAGGATTATGGAAAAATGCTTAACTTCCTAATATCCTTTGGAAAAAAGATAACTTTTTTGGTGTAAGGCAGTGGGTGCCGTACAGGTTTATGCCCTGATTTGATTGTTTTGGAAGTCACCATAGATTTTATTCGTCAATTGTGCATAACATGCATGGAAATCCATCAGATTTAATAAAACCACTGAAAAAATCTGCACGTGAGAAGTATCTATTGTCCAATGCCAAAGCTATTACAATATGTAAAAACAAAGAATATACAAAATAATATTGATATTTCTAACATTTGCTTTTCATGCATATTAGGGCGCTTAAATCCACCCAGAATTCACTTTGTTCAATAATGATAGTGGACTCCCCTGGATTTCAGAATCCAAGGAACACATCACAAGACAGGGCTGCAACTTATGAAGAGCTCTGCCATAATTATGCCCAGGAGCGTTTGCAGATGCTGTTCTATGAGCGAACGTTTTTGAAAGAACTTGATCGATACAAAGAGGTATTCTGTTTGCCACAACTCCTATAAACAAACAATATTAATCAGGACTAGCTACTGTAATGGGCAGTGATATAAATAATGAACTGTACATTTTCATTAATAAGATCAATGAATTCGCATCCAAAATTCTTGTGTTAAGGCAATCAAGTAGACTTGAGCATTTCTTTGATTTATATAGTGCAAGTCTCTAATCTTTAAAGTTTAGGAGATTGAACTTTGAAAACAATTACTTTAAATTTATGTAATCTATACTAATCAACTGATGGTTGTCTAGAGTTGTAACTGTAATCAGAATTAAGCCTATTAATATGTCCTCTGTCCTCTCTAGGAAAACATAGAGCTTGAATTAGATGATGTAGAATCCAGTTCTTCTATTTCTGTAGCTGCCATAGATCAAACCTCGCACCAGGCACTGGTAAGAAGCTGAGGCATGATGATTTAAGAAAAAAAAAACAATTTGTCATGCTATCTAATACCAGATATAGGAAGTGTATCAGCTTTTGCCCTGATAAGTACAAAGAGTTTCTACAGAAGTCAGCTTGGCTTTGCAATAATGGAAAGTACACTTAAATTCACTTATTGAAGTGTGTCTTAAATAGTGTGGTTAAATAATTGATCAATAGCTACCATTAAGCCTGATGCTATCAAGATTTAAAAGAGAACAATTGTGCTATTAGTATTTCCATTAATGCAGTTTTTTTTTTTGAAAAACTGGTGTCTGTGTGTAAATGTCTCTGATGCATTAAAGTGTACTTTTCACTCATCATCGCTCCTAATGAGCTGTAGATTGGTTTTTTTTCCTCATCTGGAATTTAGTTTCTGCACTGAAACATTATTAGATGAATGATAAGCTTGTATAGATTACCAAAATTAAGCAGAAATGTTGCTAAGAGGACACATTTCGGAAGTAGTGCATTTCTTTACATTTTTCCCCCATAGGTTCGAACTTTGGCTAGAACTGATGAAGCAAGAGGGTTGCTTTGGCTACTGGATGAGGAAGCCCTACAACCCGATGGAAATGAAGACACGCTTTTAGAACGGCTGTTTACTTACTATGGCCAACAAGATGGTGATAAGAATGGTGCAGTGTCAAAAATAAAATAATTGACCTTCAAGCGACGTCGGAACAAATAATTTTCAAACGTGTGTCAGTAAATGTCTGACCAGCATACACACTGTTGCAGTTTTTTCCCGCAAAGATGGATGAAAATCTGTGTATCAGTTAGCTTTATGTAATTGAAGAAGAATTTTTGATCTAAGTAGTTACTTTTGATTACATGCTGGATGGAGCAAACCTGCTAAATCCACTACAAATCCACTGACTCCCAGAGCTACCTGGACTATACATCCTCACACCTACTTCCTGTAAAGACTCCATCCCATTCTCTCAGTTCCTCCGTCTCCATCGTATATGCTTAGATGAGGCCATTTTCGACAAGGGAGCCTCCGAAATGTCCACCTTCTTCCTTAACCGAGGATTCCCCAGCTCCGTTTTTGACAGGGCCTTCAACCAGGTCCGGCCCATCTCCTGCACTTCCGCCCTCACCCCTTCTCTTCCCTCCCGCAACAGCGATAGGGTTCCCCCTGTCCTTACCTACCATCCCACCAGCATCCACATCCAGAAGATCATCAGATGCCATTTCTGCCACCTCCAGCAAGATGCCACTTCCAGACACATATTCCCCTCCCCTTCCTTGTCTGCCTTCCGCAGGGACTGTTCCCTCTGGGACACCCTGACACACATTTCCTTTACCCCCCAAAACCCGCCCACAGCCCTACGGCACCTTCCCCTGTAAACGACGAAGGTGCAACACCTGCCCATTTACCTCCTCCCTCCCAAGTACCCAAGGGCCCAAACATACCTTCCAGGTGAAACAACACTTCACCTGCACTTCCCAGAATCTAGTCTACTACATCCGCTGCTCGCAATGTGGTCTCATCTACATTGGGGAAATGAAGCGTAGACTGGGTGACCTCTTCGCAGGACATCTACGCTCTGCTCACAAAAAAGACCCTGAACTACTTGTTGCCTGCCACTTTAACGCATCACCTTGTTCCCTGGCCAACATCTCTGTCTCTGGCTTGCTGCAGTGTTCCAGCAAAGCTCAACGTAAGCTCGAAGAACAACACCTCAGTTTCTGCTTGGGGACCCTGAAGCCCTCCGGACTCAATATTGAGTTCAATAATTTTAGGGCCTAAACTCTCCCATGTCCTAACCCCCTGCCCCCACACACCAGGCCTTGCTATCACATAGTCTGCCATTACATATTACCTGAGGTTAGTCACTAATAGTTTCCATTAACAACTATTCACCCTCCCAGCCTGATCGTTATCAACTCTGTCTGTCCAACTGCTCTTCTCTCTCTTTAGTCTCTATCCTATCGTTTACTCCCTATCCCATCCCCCTCCCTTTTTTCTGCATATAAACTGACATTTTCCTAGCCACCATCAGTTCTGAGGAAGGGTCACCGGACCTGAAATGTTAACTCTGTTTTTTCCTTCACAGATGCTGCCAGACCTGCTGAGCTTTTCCAGCAACTTTGTTTTCGTTCCTGCTAAAACCTTACCAGAATTTGTTGCCTTGCTTTTCAGGCCAGAGTCCCTTGCTAAAAAGCAACAAAGCTCATCATTTCATCCTGGGACATTATTACAATACTAATTGGGTGGAGTATGACACAACTGGCTGGTTGAATCATGCAAAACAGAACCCTGCATCCCAAAATGCTGCTTTCCTATTACAGGATTCACAGAAGTAAGCAGTAGCCAATTTTACTAAGTGTTTGTTACTATATTTATAAGATACAAGAAATATTGATCCAATATATAATTTTACAGCTTTTTTTGTCTAGATAGTGGTTCAGGTATTGAATTATAATCTATTTTTCTGCCTTTTTTAGTTTTATGTAACTGCAATATAATTGTAATTTATTTTTCCAGGAAGATCATTAGCAATCTATTTATGGGCAGAGCTGGAACAGTCACGGTATTATCTGGTTCAATTGCTGGCCTAGAGGGAGGATCCCAGCTTACCTTAAGAAGAGCCACAAGCATGAGAAAGACCTTCACCACTGGTGTAGCTGCTGTGAAGAAGAAATCATCTTGCATTCAGATCAAACTTCAAGTGGTTAGTAAATCAACAAACAAGTTTCAACACTTTGATATCATTGTGTTTAAGGTTAGGGTAGGGGTAGATGCATGTTTTTCTGGAAGAAAATTGAACTGTATTATCTATTGCAATTGTTGTATAATTATTTAATAATTTGGTCATTTGGTAGTACAATAAGTATTATTGAAAAAAGATGCATTTTATTGAAGTTTTTTTCATATTGCACAAATCTGTTGTTTTATATTATAAGATGCATTGGTATTTTGTCTTGATATTTCTTATGATTGCTGTGATGAGTGCAAGACAAGAAGCTTTGACGATGTTTTTTTTAAGCAGTGCTCAATTATTTATCTTATTCAGTTGTTGGTTGTCTTTTTAATTTTTATTCATTGTATAAGTTATTTGATTTACTTCATAGTAATACACTTGGCTTCTAAACTTGTGTTTTAAATCTAATTTTATTTGAATCTTAAAAGTTTTGGAATTTCTTTAAAATTTAAGCATCAATGAATTGAATTTTATTTTATTTTAAATTAGATTAAATTCTATTAATAATAAAGCACTTTAATTCAGGGGAAAAATATTTTAAAGTTTATTATTATAATAACCCTTTATTGTATTCTAATGCTAACATTTGAACAAATCTACTTTTATTCTTAGATGGATTTGTAGATGTTTGATTTACCACTTTTTAATTTGATTTTCTATCAATATTTAAGATGAGACCTGCTGTAATGTTTAAAATATTAATAATCTAATTATGTTTTCATGTTAAAGCTTCAAAAGCCTCAGATTGTTTTTGTACATTAACAACTGTGCTTATGGATGTTCATTTTTGCTAGACAGCTTTGAATGCATGATCTATATGTTTCATACTTATCATTATATTCACTAAAACTGTGAATTGCTTAGGAACTTTTTATTTTATTCAGTTCAGGAAAAAAATACTTCTTCCATGCAAGAAGGGGATATGGGCTGATTCCGTTGGTTATTGGACTCTGTTTACTCCTTTTCAATTCTTGATCAATCTTATTTCATTCATGGGATGTAGGCATTGCTGGCCAGGCTTGTATTTATTGCCTATCCCTGATTGGCCTGAGAAGGCAGTGAAGCACGGCAGTCTTTGGGTGTAGGGACACTGCTGTTAGGAAGGAGGGGTCTGATGGCTTTTATGGGTTCTTACTAATGTTCCCACTAAGCTGCACTTGAGTGTGGTTGCACAGTATGCTGGAAGGTACCGTGCAGAGTTGCACTCACATTTACCTCGGAACAAGTGCACAAAAATAAAAAAAAAACAAAGAATATTGAGAAGCTTGGCTGCATAATTTTTCAGAAAATATTTGATTAGACTGGTGAATTTGGGCCCCTTACCAAAAACCTTCTGAAAAATCATATGTTACATTAACTTCACATGCCTTTTTATGTACACTTGGCATTCTTCAAAAGAACTCTGAAATTTTGCTATGGTGCTGGCTGTACTCACTAACAAATCAATTTTTAAATGCTTTTAGTTTTATCTCATTAAGGATTCTAAATTTTTATTCTCAATAAAATGTCTAAATAACGTACAGAAAAAGTACATGAAACATCCTTGCTTTTGCTGTTTATAAAAAGAATGTATAAACTATTTGCCTGAATTTCTTTACAGGATGCTCTTATTGACACAATCAAAAAGTCTAAGATTCATTTCATTCATTGTTTACTGCCAAAAACTGATGTCTTTACTGAAACAAAGGTATCTCCAACTCCATCTTTCAAATCTGGAATCATAGAACCTGATACCCAAGCAGAAAACTTTGAAGCAGGTTTGATGCAGCTGGATGTGCCACTACTTCGAGCCCAGATTAGGGGATGCAAACTTCTTGATGCCCTTAGAATATATAGACAAGGTAGATTCCATTAAATTTCAAACTTATGCATTAGCTTTTAACGTCTGTGTTTAAAAAAGTCTTTTTTTTTTGGTAGATTCCAAACATATAAGTAGCCCTTCAGAGATACTGGCTGAGATATTATTGGGTGGGTGGATGATCAGAAATAGAGTGGAATTTTGGATGGAAGATCCAGACACATTGTAGGATGTTATCCTTACAGTATGCTTTCTTTTTGTCATTAACAAAGGTCCCTCTCTCAAGTCAGCCTGATTTGAGGCTTGACTGCATGTTGTAACTCTGGAGAAAGTTGCTGGAGCAGATATTTGTATCTGGAGAGACGATTACAGGAAGGAGGAGGTTGAGGTAGAAATATCCCAATTCGCAATCCCAGGACTCAGTTTATATGGAGCAGAGCTTAGAAGGGAAAGCACTCCTACTCCTCTTGTCTTAGCAAGCAGTGCTATAAAGGGATTACATTCTACTTGAAACCAACTTCATTTCTCTTCAGTTGCTTTGTTTCCACAAGTCCTGAGAACTTAGTCACTCATTGTAAGGCTTGGCAGCATGTTAAATCATTAGATTACTGAAATATTTAAATTGGCTATTTGCCTCTGTTAAGCATAGACAGGGGGAGATCGGAGTCAGATTTCATACTTTAAGTGTTATAACGTCTGTCCTGACTCCGGTGTTCACTATTAAAACTTGGTTAATTTTTGTTGTATGTATTTAGCTAACATAGGACTGAAATTTCCAAATGGCTCAAGTTGTTAGAGTTTGCGTGTTTAAAATTTGAGATCACCTTCCATGTATAACTATATATTAGGATTTTAATTCCTGATTGAAACCAAAGATTGAAGAACATACGTTGGAAAACTTTTGATAGCTGTTCACGAGGGAGGATATTTTGTTATGATCTTATTTCCCTGTTTTCAATAAATATTTAATCTTTATTGTACTATGATCCTAACAGTATGTAGCACAATTAAACAAAGTTATTTCAATCACAAGGGAATTTCTTTGGAGTGAGTTCCTTGGTGTTTGAGGATCTAAAATAGATAGTGGATACACATTAAATAGCATTTGTACAACTGGTACAGTAAAAAGCCCTAAAGTGGAATGTTAGGAAATGGTACATATCCCCTCAAGAAACTTATTGCATGCTACTTTAGTCACAGAGTTCTTAGTTATTCGTGATTTTCTCGGTGAGTGGAAAGAATTTCATAAATAGGTACAAGGACATAGGGCTGTAGTTGCAGACTATCTGTTTAATCCCGGTGTCAGGAACTCTTATAGAAATGATAATCCAAGACAGTGTAAACAGTCACTTGAATAAATGTGGATTAGTTAAGAAAAGCTATTATTGACTTGTTGAAGGAAAATCATGTTTGACTAATTTAAGTGAGGTTTTTGATGAGGAAACACCACATTGATGGTAATGTAGTTGATGTGGTGTACGAGAACTTCCAAAAAACATGTAATGAAGTGCCACATCACAGTTGTCAGTAAAATTAAAGTCCATGGAATAAAAGGAACAACGACACAATGGGCACAAAGTTAGCTGTATGAGAAGAAATTGATAGTTGTGGGGAATATTTTTCTTTGCACTGGAGCAAGGCATAGAGTGGGATTCTTCGGGTAACTGTTAGGGTCATTGCTTTCCTTAATTTGTAAATGATGTAGTCACCTGTGTGCAGATCACCATTTCAAAATTTTCAAATGTTACAAAACTTGTAAATATTGTGAACTGTGAGGAGGATTGTCCTAAACTTCGAAAATAAAGACAGGCTAGATGAATGGGCAGGCACATGGCAGATGAAACTTAATGAAAAAGTGTGTAGTGATGTATATTGGTGGGAAGAGTAAATTAAGGCAATAAAAAAGAGTTCCAAACCTAAAGGGACAAAGAAGCAGAGAGATCTTGTGATATTTGTGCACAAATCATTGAAGATCGCAATAAAACTTGAGAAAGAATTTAAAAGTTACACAAGAACCTTGAGTTTATAAGCAGAAGCACGGAATACAAAAGTAAGGCAATTATGTTGAATATTTGTGACACAATACTGCAATTGAATACAACCAATACTTCAGAGTACTGAGCACCACACTTCATGGAGAAGGTGAATGCTTTGAATGCATGATCTGCAATTTAAGCTGATTGGCATGCTGCTCACTTGGAGACTGGTGCAGCCAGGATGGGCCGAATGGCCGCCTCCTGTATAGTGCTGCGATTCTGTCTATCGAGAGCCAGAGGTAGCATGAAGAAAACTTTTTTTCAGGCAGCAATTGACAAGATCTGGAATGCACTGTCTTGAATGTGTGGTAATGGCACATTCAATCCAGAATTGTCAAAGAGAATTGAATGATCATCTGAAGATGAAACATTTGCAGGACCACAGGGGAAAAGTATGGGAGTGGGACAAGCTGAGTTGCTTTTGCAGAGAGTCTACATGGACACCACAGGCTGAGCAGCCCTCCATTGTAACCATTCTGTGATTTCATAATGACTGCTACTGATACTTCTCTCCTTATTTTGAGCAATGTCAGTTGTCATTGTAATAAAAGTTTGTGCCTTTTTGATAAAATGAAATAATTTAAAATGTAAACAGTGCCCTTCTTTCATTTCAATCTGTAGGTTATCCAGATCATATGGTGTTTTCTGAGTTTAGGCGACGTTTTGATGTTCTTGCACCACATCTAACAAAAAAATATGGACGTAACTACATTGTTAAAGATGAAAAACGGGTGAGTTAACTGTGACAATACATTTTAATTCATAAAATTTTTGATTAGGCATTTTCTGTTAGTTATAACCTTGCCATTTTTATTGAAGACATATATGAAATACCTCCATGAAGGCTAGTATCCTGTTGCCAAGTTTTATTTAGATGTGCATAGTACATGTCGCTGACCCAGCTAGCACAGATCCTGCTCCTCGAGTGAACAGAACCCTCACACTCCTGTTTGTATCTGTCAGCCTGGACTCCTTAATTGGACCAAGTTAACGGACCCAGTCAGGAAAATCATATTCTATCGGATCCACTTGGCTACCTCATTCCAATTGCTGTGTCCCTCCTCCACTAAGTCCTGGGATGTAGGCCTGTTCTTTTTCCTGTAGCTTCTTTTGGGATGCTTACGCACTAGGTCCGGTTCCTCCGACTCTGCCTTGGATACTGGCAGCGTGTATTGGACCGTAGCCCAGCTCTTGCACCTGGAGCATCTCAGAAGAAATTCATCATCATCAGGTGGTAACAGCGACATCTACCATGTCCACCTCGTCCTTAGAGGTTTCTTTGATGATAGGCAGAGGGGGGAGAACCCACAGATTCTGATAGCCTTGCTGGATAGTCTGAGGGGCTGGCTATGTTTTGCTTCTATCCCGTTTGCGAGGTTGCAGCTTTCATGCTGTCCACATGCTTGTTCAGGACTGCCTCTCCTCCCCCGACTTTGTACATCACAGAACCTGACCTGACATCGACCATGCCTCTTAGCATGCAGGACCATTCCTGTGGTTTCAATACCAAACTTTGTCTTCTGAAGTAACCTGCCTGTCTCGCAGAGAAGTCTTGTGCGGAGTTGTCTCCCCATTAGCAATCTATTGGAGCTATCTCTGGAGTTGCGTGAGGGTGGTCCTATATTCGTATAGGAACTGGGTCAGTTTGGTATCGAATGAAGCTGTAGGCTTTTTTTTTTTTTAAGGCTGCCTTCAAAGTTTGGACTGCTCTTTCCACCAGACCATTGGATGATGAATGGTACGAAGCTGTCCTTGCATGCTGAATCCCATTCGACTTTAGAAATACTTGAATTCTCTGCTGATAAATGCCGGCCCATTGTCTGTGACCAACACTTCAGGAGTCCGTGTATTCCAAAAGATGTTTGCAACTTTTCAATCGTTATCTCCGTGTTTGACGAATGAACTCTACACACATCCAACCACTTTAAATGGGTGTCCACAATGACTAAGAATATAGACCCCGTGAAAGAACTGGCGTAATCAATGTGTAACCAGGTCCAGGGTTTACCCTGCCATTGGCATGAATGTGAAGAGCTGCTAATGGTAAATTTGGTCCTTGTTGGCACTCTTTTTGGCATTGCCTGACCAAGGCGACTATGTCAACATTCGATCTTGGCCACCAGACACAACGTCTCACCAACGTTTTCATTTTGGAAACCCCTAGATGACCCTGGAGTAGTTCAGCCAGTATCTGGCGATGACCTTTACTCGTGTCAATCATTCTTGCTCCCCTAAATAATATGTCATCCTCTATGGTGATCTGATCTTGCCAGGTCCAGAAGGGTTTCAATCCTGGTTGTGATGGCTGTTTTGTTTCCCACGTTACCACTAGCTCTTTTGCACGACCAGATCCTTTAGTGTCCAAGGTCTGACATTGTCAGCATTGACCGGAAGGATGTCCAGAAAGTTTAAAATCAGAACGGACTGTTCCAGTGTTCTATCTACTTGTGGGACGCAGCTCAAGGCATCCACATTTGCTGCTTGGCCTCTTGGATGGTGTTCCAACTTTTAATTGTACACATTTAGAATAAGAGCCCACCGCTGAATTCGACCTGAAGCTATGGGCAGCATGGCCCTGTCCTCTTTAAGTAGCCATAGCAAGGGTTTCTGGTCTGTTACTACTACAAATTTATGTCCATAAAAAGGTGTTGGTGAAACTCTCACACCAAAGATCACCACCAAACTTTCCTTCTCTATCTGGGCATATCTTTGTTTGGCATCAGGCAAAATCTGGGAAACATAGGCTATCGGGCGTTCCCCTCCGCTGGGCCATCAGTGAGCCAACACTGCTCTGATATTGTATGGGGAGGCATTGCATATTGTCATCACATCCCGCTTGGGATTGTAGTGTGCCAGCACCTTAGACAACAATAGCTGCTTCACTTACCGAAAGGCTACATCTTGACTACAAGAACGTTTCCAAGGCTGACTCTTTTCCAACAGCAAATTTAAGAGTGCCAGGATGGAGGCCACATTATGTATGAATTTTATGTAATATTTCACCAACTCCAGGAAGGACCTACGTCACAGACAGACATGGGAGCTAGGACACTCTGCCTTCACTGTATCGTTCACCTGGTATAACGCAGTCTTGTGGACTCTGTAGCCCAAGTAGGTCACATGGGGTGCTTGGAACACACATATTTCCCCTCCTGACACATTCCCCTGCCTTGGAGAAATATTTAAGCAATGTGTCCAAGTTCTCTAAATGCTCTTTATTGGTCTTCCCGGTTATTGGCACGTCATCCAGATAAATGGTGACCTGGAGTAAACTTTGTAAAATGTTTTCCAACATCTGCTGGAAAATGGCACGGCCTGATGATACGCCAAAAGGCAGTCTTAGTATATTGGTACAAACCCTAATGGGTATTAATTGTAGCATACTTCTGGGAATCCTCATCTAACCTCAGTTGCAGGGGCTCATGTCCAGCTTTGTGACCCCTGCCAGTTTTGTGTATAAGTTCTCTTCTCTATGCGAGGGATTGGGTATTTATCCACTGGGAAAAGTGATTCACTGTTTGAAATCCCCACAAAAGTGAGCCGACCCATCTGGCTTCACAGTCAGTATGACCGGTGCTGCCCATCCCACAAACGTGACTGGTTTGATGATTCCTTCGCTTTCCAGTCCTCTGATTTCTGCTTCTACTTTTGCACATAAGTCAAATGGCAAATGGTGGGCCTTGCAGAATTGTGGATTTGCATCTTGATCAACACGCAAGATGGCTTTGGCCCCATTGATAGTCCCTAGATCTTCCTTAGAAACTTCCGGTATTCAATTAGGACTTTGTTCAGGCAGCTATTTTCTAATTGAAAAATGTTGAGCCTATTGAGAGGAATCTTTCTCAACCAATTTTGGCCCATCAAGCTTGAGCCCAAACCTTTAACTACAACCAGTGTTAACTGAACCAGCTGCTTCTCACATGAGACCAGAACTGAAGGTGTACCCTTAATCTGTAAGAGTTCTCTGGTATAGGTTCTAAACCTGGCCAGAGTCTTGCGCAGACTTAACGGTTGGAGTCCAGAGCGAATTTCGGTAAAGACTGGTTCCGCAAACACCAAAACAGCTACACTGGTATCGACCTCCATTAGAACTGGGTGACCATTGAACTAGACGTGTATTTTGATTGGTTCTGATTTGTACATTGCTGAACAATTTAACTGTTCCAAACCAGCTGTAGGTGGAGTTCCAGGATATACACTCTCCTGGATACTGGCCTACAAGTTCTCTTACTCAATTTAGGCCTAGTGGGACTCTTCTGCTGTCTCGAGTCCATATACCAGTAGCAACTACAATGGATCCTTGAGAAAATTCTAACTGTTTGGCTGAGACTTGACGTTGCTTTGGGGTTTTGCTGTGGACTGACTTAGGGTCCCTCTGTTCATGATATGTCCTGAATGAGGCCCGGCAACGGTGTTCCATTCAATCAGCATCCTCTGTCACTCATAAGCTGCACTTGTTGCATTTTCTAACAAGAAAGCGAGTTGTAGTGCCTGTTTGAAATCCAGTTGGACTTCAGCTGCTAGGTACTTTTGCATGGTCAAATCCGTAATCCCACATACCAACTGGTTTCTTGGTATCTCCTTAAGGGTTAAACCAAAATCACATGCCTCTGCCAGTCGTCTTAACCTCGTCAAAAATCCTGATTCGGTTTCCCCTGGATCTCGAACAGTCAAGTAAAACTGATAGCATCTCAGAATTAGAGGAAGTTTGGGGTTGTAATATTCCTTAGGTAAATCCGTAAATTGTTGAAAGGTTTTAATATCTAGTGCCTCCAGGAAAGGTAGGCTCCTAATAACCGAAAATACTGTAGGCCCACATGCTGTCAGGAGAATTGCTGATTGCTTTTCATCTGCCCCAATGTCATTTGCCTAGAAAAATAACACATTCTTTCCACAAACTTCGACGGTAGGATTGAATAAATCAAGCTTCCCAAATAGCGACATGATGTCAGAAATGCTTACCCCAATTCAAAGATGACTGTTGCAAGCAAATCTCTTCAGGGGTATGTTTTTCTCTCATTGCCACTGAAATAACTCCATGAAGGCTGGTATGCCATCACCCTTTATTTACACGTGCATAGCACATGACACTGACCCAGTTGGCTCCTGGACTGAACAGAGCCCCTGACACTCCTGCGTATATCTTTTAACCAGGGCTGCGTGGACCAGGTTAATAGCTCCAATCAGGGAAATCATATTGTATGAGATCCACCTGGCTTACCTTGTTCCAATCACTGCAGTGTACTGCTGAGTAACACAAAACATAATTAGTTGAAAGTATGTAAAAGGGCTGGATTCACCTATCTCAAAGCATTATTATTTAGAGTTGTGGCCAAGCTCTCAGTAATTAGTCAAGAAAATAAGAAGTGAAGCATAATGCTCAGTTTCAAATCCATTTTCAAAAAAAATCTAATTACAGTGCTATTAAATGTTCTACCAAAATAATCTCCATCATATCATTTCCCAGCATTAAAGGTCAATTATTTGAACAAAGTAAGAGTTTCTACTTTGTGATTTTGATATGTAAAATATTACCCCAAAAACGTAACTTCTACTGTCCACAATAACAAAATTACATGCTTTGGGACTGCTTTTAATCTCTTGCTTCATGGTATTGGACATCATGCTACAACTGGAGCAGCATGTTATATTTAGATATCATGTTTTCATTGTTTCATCCTGACCCAAAGAGAACTGGATGGCTGTGGGACTCCGATTGTATAAGTTAATTTTGCTTATTGTCACAGGAACACATGAATTGTGTTACTTGACCCAGGGAAGAGAAAATGTTCAATGCTTTAAAATTAATGGTTTTAAATCCAATTTAAATAAACAACTGAAAATTGATTGTTATCCTGGATAAACAAGAAAACCAAATTGACTGCAGTTACTCACTTTTTTTAAACTATATTCGGTAGGATAAGAGGATTACATCACAGTTGATGTTTTGTATAAAAATATTCAGAAGTTTAATATTTTACCACTTTTCAAATAAAAGCACAATTGTTGGAAGGGTTAAGTAATGGGGTTCAAGGATTGACCATCACCTCGTTGATATGGAGTAGTATTTAGTGAAATGTTAATTAGAGGGCTGTTTGTTTTTAAACTGCAGGCACATTGTGATAGTGAAAATGATACACAAAAGGCATCTTCCATATAAGGCAGTACATGTGTAGTGAATTTATCACTGTGGCAACGAACAAACACAAAAGTCTCTTTAGTACGCAGTGTTTGGACACTTGCTTTAAAAGTATAGCATTATAAAACCATCACAAACAACTTATAAGAGGCAAAATTAGTGTTGCAGTCAAGATATTCGAATATTCTATTTGATTTGAACTGCCTGGATTGTCTTTATCAGTGGCACCATTAGAGTTGAAATATTTTAACTGTAAGCTTAAGTTTAACTGTTTATTTTTAGCAGTAATGGAGAGTTAACTTCTTAGTTTCTTTTGAAAGTTGTATTTGTGTATAAACCAGTTAAAATTAGGAACAGAAATATTATTTTTCTTACCGAAACTAGTTCTGATGTCTATACTTTTACTACTGCATTTTTGGATGTGTTATTGCAGAGATGTGGGTAACATAATTCAGTGAAACTTAGCCTCGATGAGAATTAGACATAAAGTAATCTGCACTCAATGCATTTGCAAAGTTTTATCTTCGGCAGAGGCTTACTGCATGCCCTGATTTAAACAAACAAGCAAGAATGCTCCAACACCAAAATATATTTTGAAACCATATGTTTTACTCATTGAATTTTGAGGGTAAAAATCTTAACTGGAAATTCTAATCTTTTGGAGAAAATACACCACATGAAAAGAGTAAATTCGTCTTTTAAAAAGTGATTACATTTGCATTTGGGATTCATAATATGTTTCTTTTTCACTTGTAGGCAGTGGAAGAACTTCTGGAGTCCTTGGATTTGGAGAAGAGCAGTTACCACATAGGACTTAGTCGGGTAAGTAATACGGTTTCAAAAATATTTGAGCAGACAAAATAGATAAGTAGCCCACAAGTATTTATATTACTATTTTTGTCTCACAGGAACAGGGAATCCGTGTGATTCCTTAATTTCTAGCTTGCGAAGTACGCATGGTCAGCATTTCATTGATAGTGAAACAAGTGGTAGTACTGGATGCGTGTAAAAAGTGAAACAGAAATACCACATGTTGGAAATATGCAATGAGTATGTTGGTGTGCAGAGGAAAAATGACAATCTGAGAGATACCTTCCCTGTAATCTTAACATTCAATTTTCCTGTCCCTTTAGATGTTGACAGGTAGTACTGAATTGTTTTCCCTTAAATGTTTGAAGTCAGTTGGCCAGATTGGTTTTAGTACAGTTCTAAATTAGAGAATTCATCTAATTGTTTTGATATTGCTGAGAATCTAGCTCCTTGCTTCTAAAAGCAAGATGTTACAGTTTAAATAATATTGAAGTTGGCATTATAATCAGTATGGATTAATATTGTAGGTTAATCACATGATTTAGAAGAATTTGGCTCATCGTTGCAATAGATATTGCAGATACCTTGTTTGTGGTTTGTAGAACAAACTGTGTTCCCTGGCCAACATCTGTCTTGGGCTTGCTACAGTGCTCTAGCGAAGCTCAGAGCAAGCTGGAAGAAAAACACCACCTCAATAAATTTCAATAATTTTAGGGCCTGAGCACATTCTCCCATATCCTTAACCCAACCATCTCACACTTGGCCTTGTCATCACATGGGCTGCTACCACAACCAATTTATTATCTGCCACTATCAGCTATTTATTCTTCCAAGCTAACCTTTACCCATTCTTTTGTCTGCCTAACTGATTTTCTTTCGCTCTTGCTCTTGCTGCCTCGGTGTGTCTGTGTCTCTCTTTTTTGGCCTCTGCCACTGCATGTGTGTCTCTCTCTCTCTTTCTCCATGCCTATGCCTCTGCCATTCTCTCACTCTCTCGCTCTGCCTCTCCCTCTCTCAAGCTTGCTCTCTGTATTGCATGCAATTTGTCTCTCTGGGCTCCAACCTCACCTATTGTTTACTCCTCCCTCTGTCTTTCTCCTTTTTTCTCTCTCGGCCGCCCTCTCTCTCTCTCTCCGTAGACGAACCGCTGGACCTGAAATGTTAACTCCGATTTCTCGCCACAGATGCTGCCAGACCTGCTGAGCTTTTTCCAGCAATTTCTGCTTTTGTTTCACATCTATTGGAAGCAGGTGTCAAATAAGTCCTGTCTGGCTTGTTGCATCTGACACGGCACTGCTCTATCATGCTGAAGGTGCTATTCCTTCTCATTGTCCTTGTTTTCCTCCTCATTTTGGTGGAGAAGTGAGCTACTTTATATTTATGCTCAACCTCAGTCAGGGGTTGTGTAACAGAATCATCAGTCACAATTGCAGACAGTAGCTCTTGCCTCACAGCAGCTGTCGTGGAAAGGTATCTAATCCTTGAAATGAAGCATAAACCTGAAAGTGATGCAGGCTGTAGACATAAGGGCAGCTTCAGCAGCATTTGGTGCAGATCTCGAAGATGTTGTTTGGCTGATCACCGATGACTTGTGCATTTACTTAATGGAAGCCTTTTCTATTGTTGAAGTTTGCCATATTATAATATGGCTCACTCAATGTGGTGTGTGTACAATCTATTACGCCCTGCATCTGGGATAATCCATCTATATTGGTTAAGCCTGCTGCCCAGGCTGCAACACTAATTTTGTCATGGGGAAATGTGATGAATTGATGTGATCGAGCACAAATTACATTGATAACAGCCTTGATACATTTGCGTGTTGTGGATTGAGAGATACCACACAGGTCTCCAATGGATCCTGGAAGCAGACAGTTTCATAATTTTTTGCACAGCTGTCACTTTGATAGTCACAGGGATAGGAAGGGCACTCACTGCTTCAGTTAGCAAATTCTACGCCATTAGGTGACCTAGTTGTTTGAGGATGTTCTGGGATATCTTCCGTCTATGTATCATTGCTCCTCAGTCATGGAGGAAATTACATTGAGGACAGTATAGGCAGTCCAGACTCTTATCTCCTACAGATCCTGAGAGTGTCTTCAGCTGCGATTTGTTCAGATGGAGGCTGTTTGACAGCTGCTGGTCTGGGATTGTCTAGTGCATTTGTTCCTCCTTGATATTTTTCTGTCTTCATTGCACAGCGATGACGACCCCTGCCGTGGCTGGATCCATTGGTCATGTTTGCATTTTAGGGGTGGGGAGTGGGGGAGGAAGTATCAGAAACATATCAGGTTCTCCGCTTGTTAAGTGATCTAGGGATCCTATTTGTTTTGACTGGCTTTGGATCCTAACCTAGCATCCTGGTATGATCTTGCTTGTGTCATAGTGACCAGACTTAATTTTGGCCTGAGACTTTACATTATGCTGAGCATGTGCTGAAATAAACTGTAACTTGCCTAAAACCTCTACTTAAGCTTAACTATCCCTATGCTCCTTGCTTCATTACTGTTGACCTGACAGGTTGTTATGTTTGCCTGGTTACATTTTCTAGATTGGCTAACTTGTCATGGTTCTCCTCAGGCTTGCTCAGCCCTTTGATTGCTATGGATGGTACGCCATTCAACCTTAAATCCAATAGGAATTAGGAACAGCACTACCACTAGTGGTTAGGAAGCAATTCTAATCTGGCCGAATGTTCATCCTAATATGGCAATCGTAAACTGTCTACCATTTACTCTGCATTTTCCATTTGATTTCCACATTTTCTCCCAGTAATTTGACCTCCTCTTGGTTTCACTGATACTGCTTCATTTTTGCCTAGTCCTCTCTCCTCATCTCACTTAAACATTCCAGCAGTTTTGGGATTTGCTTCCCCTCAGAAAGCCGGTACCTTAGGATTGTTGGTTATATTCATTATTTCCCTACAGGGTGGCCAGATGTTAGTTATCACCAAATGCCCAATTGTCATTGGGGCCTGAGCATGGAAGCAGAAACTAGAGTTGATCACTGGTCAGTGGATATTCATACTGATTTTTTGGCTTACTGCTGGTCACACTGTATTTTTTTTGTTCACAGTATGCTACCTGCATTGAGTTATGGCGAGCATTAGAACCTAGTTTAGGGTTGTACTAAAATAATATGCAAATCTCGTCCCTATCTCAATAAGATGAGGGCAGACAACCCTATTCTCTATAGCTAATCAGCGAGATCCATTTAGGAGTGAATTTCACTGGGTCATGTATTTGGATACTGAAAAGTCCTTTGAACAGTTACCTTCCATGACCCTGATCATCTTAAGTAGTCTACTACCATGTTGGTTAAATTCCACTGGAACTTAAAATCCCATCAACAAGCTCATTACTAATGAACTGCGAATGTCAGATGTAAGTACTGACTGGCTCAACACAATTATTCTAGCAATTCAATTGTTTCTTAAATTAGAAGTTGCAATTGAATAGCTAACTCTGACAGGACTGTTCAGCTGCACACTTCTTTCATTCAGCTTACAAACAATGAACATATTACCTAAAATTTGAACCTTTAGTCAACATTCATATTGATTTGATGAATGGATAATTTGGTAAATAGCTTGGGAATTATAAGGATTAAATTACGATAGATAATACTGATCCTAGATTTATGCATGGCAACTTTAGATGTAAAAAGAATTTACATTGCAATGCTTTACAGCTTCAGGCTCTGCTGTTCCCCATTATGAACTTCCCTGAAGTACTTATTATTCATGCTAATTGTTAACTGTGACACTTAGTGTTCAATTTTTAAAAATTAACCTTTTTTTTCTAATCAACCTTTTCAGAGATGTTATTACGCACCTCTGGCATAGGTGGGACCTTTACTGGGGCCAATTGGTCCAAGGTTAGGCACTCTACCTCTGCATCACAAGAGCCCCTCAAACATTTAGTGTTCCATTCTCTGATTGTAAGTGGTATCACCTGAATTTCTGTGGAACAGGCCTTACTGGGTCCCCTGATCAATGACCTAGTTCCTTCTGCAGTTGTGGTTGCCAGGCAATATTATAGTTTCCATGGTCCTGTAAGGAGAAAACATAGAGGACCCTGGAAACTAACTGGTCGTCACCAATTAGGACTTACTATTTATTGTGTTTCCATACTTGGTTGACTCTGTACATTATTTCTACTGGCCTTTCTCTCCCAAAGCCACGTATGCAACTGTTGCTGGTCGCAAGGTGTTCAAAGTCCTTGTGAGTGAAGTGCTAAGCCTGGTTTTCCAAGTAGGACCTAACCATTCCTTGATCCTCTTCAATCCAAATTATAATGTTACAAATTCAAACACACAAATGTCATACACACGAAAATAAATCCATAGTGGATCTTTTCCCTCTCATACTCCAGAATAGAAGAAAAGAATGGTTTCAACATAATGTTGCAGATTCAGCAACAACAATTGTCTTCACTCAGGAGAAGGATGGTGTAGAATTCAGGAAGAATGACTGTGATGTTCTTGAGCAGATTGATATAGGGAGTGAGAAATTTTTAAAACCAGGTTTAAAAATGTGCAAATCCCAGGCATCTGTGGGAGACAAGGGAAGAAATCACAGGGACTTTAACCCAAATTTTGATAACAATGCAAGTTAGAATGTTTTCCACTAACTTAAATCCTCATTTTTATCATAACTTCTTCTGGTTGCTGCTTATTTTAACTTAAGCCAATTTAATACAACCTTATTTCACATTTACCGTTTACCAATTTCTGAACACACAAAGTCTAAACACTAACACAAATTATTTTTTAAAAATCTATTCAACAGTATTGTGCTACTTCCAATCTAATTTTACTAACTTTTCCCTGACTCCTGTCCATGTCTGTTTCTACTACTGACTCTATTATTGGCCTGGCATTGTTTCTGGGCTTGTTTCCTCAGTTCCAAGTCGCTATTAATTATAACACCTTATCTACCTTCTTCCACTGCTGGACATCCCATCACATTTTTTTGTTCTTTGCTGGCTCCCAGCATTTCAAACCTTTTTCAT